TAAAGTTTAATATATTTTGTTCTAGTGGGCCGATTTTGATGATTCTTTAAGCAATTTGTCGTTAAATTACTTGACTTTTTAGTATCTCTTTCTAAATTAAAAATAATAGTTTCCATCTGTCAATTATACGAGGGAAAACAAAATGTTGATATTTTGGTGAAAGTTTGAAACACCCTGTGAAATATGTTACCAAAGCATGTTAACAAAGCAAGTTAAAAATTGTTTCATCATCTACGTACGTCTTTTCTCGAGAGTATGTTTTTTGATTCATCGCAAAAACTTTAATTTTATTGGAGATATTCGCTTTTGAATAAGACAGTAACAATTTACAGCAATTTTAGAATTTATTTCGGATCCTCATCACCACATTTATAACCCGTTAATGTACCCTACAGGGTGTTGCAAACATTTACCAAAATATCAATATTTTTTCCCCTCGTATAATTGACAGATGGAAACTTGGAAATGGAAACAAAGGAGATACAAAAAAGTCAAATTTAGCTACAAATTGCTTAAAAAATCATCAAAATCGGCCCACTAGAACAAAATATATTAAACTTTAAAATACATCAAAATTCTTAGATGCCCGTTTTTCGTGCCGGTGAGTGTATAAAGTTTATTAATTAAAATTACAGATTAAAACTTTTTTTCCCATAAAAAACTGATTCATGTCTGCGTTGAAGAACAGTATCGATGTTAATCGATCTTGCGATCCTTTAACATCGAGCTGATTTTTCATCTTGATGAACTCATCTTTGCATTGTATGCTTGTTCTTTTCTGATTATATCATCTCATATTTTCATTATATGTCACCTCTGGAACAACAGGTCTAAATTTTTCCTGAAACGAAATCACGGCGGTAACATCAATGGAAAGCAGTAACATTTCTGACCACATATCGTCAAAAAAACTTCAGTTTATCTAGCAATCCATAACTTTAATAATAACTTATTGTATACTCGTTGTATAAAACCAGTTGTACAATATTAGTTCAAGTTCACGTTATTCTGCTCTTCTATTTTTATATATTGGCTTTTAAACCCATACGTCTTCGATAATTCTATTCCTACCTGGCCCTTGAAATAATTTTGATATAAAATTCCTTATTTTATCCCTCATTTTGTTTATGTCAAACACTGCAGATTTTGAAACTATATGTAGAATGTAGAATGTAGAATGAGTAAGAGGGGGGGGGGGGTGAATCACTGCGACCTTAAAGATCTATTGTACCCCTCTTCCTTGAGTCATCACACAGTCTATAACCCATCATACCCCTGTTGTAGAGGGGACAGGCTATTTCCCATCCTCCTCTGACAACAGTTCTTCCTTCGAGGGTACACACCCTTCCACGATTGGAGTTTGGCCCTCCGTGCCGCCCTTCACAGTCGAGGAGCTTACCTCCGGCCAAGGAACCCGTGAGGTGCAGGCTGGAGGATCTGTCTCCATTTTCTCCACCTCTTTAACTTGGTCTCTCCTTAGACCTGATACCGGTGTTGTCCCGTATCTATAATAGAGAATATGTCCCTCTTTCTCTATTGCCTCCTCGGATATGAGGTCAATTCCTATTGTGAAGACCTGACCATGACCCTCCCCCCTCGAGTTGATGACTCGCCAACTCGATGTCCTTACATTGAAGTTTTGATCCTGGATAAGGCTCAGCAGATAGATATCTTTCCCCTTGCTCCTCGGCAGAAAGACCGTGATGGCCGCCCCTTTAGGGATGTTTTCTCCCTTCACTGTAACCAGTTCCGGCCCTTGCCAATATTTAAGCTTAGGTGCGATTTCCACCAACCAATTCGCCGATTCTTGAGATACACAATCTATGAGCATCATGCCCACCCGAAAGTGTATCCCCGCAAAACGCAGCTGACCCACATTTTGTAGATCGTTGTGTTGCGATCCGATCGCCACTACTTTGTCCAGTATAGCCTCTTCTAGACACGTTTGCTGGTCGGTGGTCAGAGCTACCTCTGGGAAATCCTTTGGCAGCACCGCCATTTTCACTTGTCCAGCAATAGCTGCAAAGCTAATGATACGTGATAATGAATAATGAATACAATGATACGATACAAAGCGGTGATACGTCCCTGCTTGCCTCCTTGTGTTGGACGGCTTTCCATCCTGGCTTTTTTGAGGTGAGAGGTTCTCGCTCCCTCTCTTGCCCTTTGATGGAGATGAGTCAGGTTGTTTCTTGGTTTCTTTACTCTCCCCTTTTCGGAGGAATTTTTTTTGGCTTTTGCTTCCTCTGGAGCAAGTTCTTCGTGGAGCAGTCGGAGGTATCTCCGTGCTTCTGTTCCGCTAAGACCTACTCTCAGAGGATCGCCTAGCCCGCCTTGTTGGCCCAGGCCAGGTAGACAAAACGGTAGCTTGTGTCGCTTTAGGAATTTTGGAACTATAACATGCTCCGTAATTTGACAAGTAGGTATTTTTGCCGAATTAAGATATTCTAATATTTTAGATTTTTCGGCGAGTGTAAGAGCTTTTGTACTACTTATGTGCTCGTTTGATAGGAACCATTACGTCTAACATTGTAGATTGTATGGGATTTATTGTGTCCCTCTATCTTACGCTATAACTCATCATACAATCTCAGGGCTTTGACAAAAGCCAGTATCGGAGACGGTTTTATAATGATTAGTTCTCCATCTCCGAAATCAGTCGTAACAAAGTTTATAGTACCCGCTTTAATCTTTAAACAAATAGTTTAGGATACTAACAGACTTTTTTATGAAGATCCATTTATCAGTTATTTAAGTTGCGATCCCAAACAACCACAGTGAAAAAAAAGCTGATGCCGTTAAATAAGATTAGAAAAAATATCATCTTAAAATAGAATTCTAATGGAGCATAATTTCCAAAAACGTTATAGATATGTCACTTGAATTAAGTACTCTACTCAATATAATGTTATCGCATGCTCTTGACAACAATTTTTTTTATTTAGTTTAGATGAAATCCTCTTAATAAATAAATAATCCATCTGATTAACTCACTTAAATCGCATTATTTAAAAAATCAATTATTATTTTTGAGTTTGCTGACTCGTTATGCTGATCTGTTATCTGTATTATTGATTTTTTTTTAATTTTTTTAACAATATTAAGACTTGATTGGTTGATTTCGCCAGAAAACCTTGTCTCTCATTGTGCAGTTTTAGGTTGACAACATAGGTACTATATCTAAAAATCTCGTCTCATAATTTTCTGTTAAGCCCATTTTCAGAAATTTAAAAATTGCTTTATTATATATTTTAATCTACGACAATGTCATTATGACACATTTAACATTGTCATTTGGATGTCATTATGGTTTTCATAATAGCACTAGTGCTATTATATGGCTATTATGAATTCATAATAACACGCAAATTTTAAAATAAGAAACAAGCAAAAAAGGTACCTACTATTCTTGATTCCTTTCCCTTTACACCAATCTTCAAGTTTTACATAGGCTTGCTCGTACGTTTGTCTTGATTTTTCGGGAAGTAGGGAATCGACAACGTTTTGCGCAATGCCTACAATATCCGAAGGGACACTTTCAGAATCAGAATCACCCATATTAATATTATTTTTTGCTTTTTGCTAAAACTGAACGTTTAACACAAAATTGAACATCAATAATTGAGTTGTCAAAATCAAAATGGAAACAATCAACAAGCACGGTTACCACGGCGTCGACTAATATGGGCACCTCATAATTTTGAATTTTAATTTTTATGAGCATATCTTTGATATTTTAAATTAAATCAAATCTCTTTGGATCGTCCCTCGTGTCGCGTCGTAGATTAAATTTTGAATGATACACGTATACACGATACGAACTTTTTAATGAAACTTGTGTAACTAAAGGCGGGTTCTCACTTGTCAGTTTCGCTGACGCAGTCTGACTGATTCAGTGATGCTGAACAAATAATGAACGTCAGAACACATTTTCATGTTAAATGATCAGTAAATTCGTACTTTCAGTTAAAGTGAAAACCAGTTCTACTTTTTTCATTTTTGACTGATCATTATCGAATAATGAATAGAAACTGAAGCGTGAGAACTACATTTTCGTGATTTGTTCAGTTTACAAGTTAAAGTTAATTAATTATTTTAATATATATCTCCAAAAAAATCCTTTATGGGTATTTCGCCACTGCACTGCAAGAAAATCTACAAAATAAAATAGTTATTTTTTGTAAACACTTCTGGCGTTAAACCTAAACGGACACTGCTTGTCAGAAGTTATGTTTACAGTTATACAAATTGGCTTAATAAAGAAAAAAATGCTTAACGTTTCGGAAAGTCTGTCGTCGGAAGGAAAAAAAATTCAAAGAATAAAGAAAAAAAACTATTTAAAATGTTTAAATTCAAATTATTATGAGAAGACGCTTTTTTTTAAAGCAGATACGTCTACAAGAAACCCTTGAAGTTCTGTTAAAATAGAACGTCAACGGTTTCTTGTAGACGTATCTGCTTTAAAAAAAACGTTTTCTTCTTTTCTGATTCACCAGAATATTCTGTAATTCATTTGCTAATTGTAAACAAACTTCGCGAACACCTGGTTTCAATTTTGTTTTAACCATTTTCATGTCTGCGAAATCACCACGATAAAATGTTTGGACCAACTGAATACTGAATGTAGCAAAACATGAAACGTGTGAATACAATCGTTGATTTTTATTTTTCATTGATAATGAATCAGTCAGACTGCGTCAGCGAAACTGACAAGTGAGAACCCGCCTTAAGCCGTTACACGCCTTTCATTATGATGTTCGTATCGAGCTTGTATCATTAATAACTATAGTCTACGACAATGTCATTATGACACATTTCACATTGTCATTTGGATGTCCATTATGGCTTTCATAATAGCACTGATGCTATTATGAATTCATAATAACACGCAAATTTGAAAATAAGAAACAAGTAAAAAAGGTACCTAAATACGTTTATTTATTGTAAACATTAATTATAATATCAGTACAATTGGTTAAATTAATTCCAGACGATGACAGGTGAGTTGAATTTTTTTTGCAGATTTAAGACAACAGTAAAACGATATGAGTCTGGACCAACATCATGAGAACCTGGTAAACAATAACAAAAGCCACAAGCCATGTCATTTGAAACAACCGGAAGTTAACAATGCCTACGTGGACAATTCCAACGAAGTTTATTTCGGACACAGGAACATATTTCAGGGTCCTGTGACGATAGAAACAGTCATATTTAAAGATGTAAAGGAAAATTTAGATAAAGGAAATACAACGGACGGTGGTATCGCCAAAAATCCAGATGAAAGCACTAGGAACGGAAAAGAAGAATATAGCAAATATAATCCAAATACACCTTTTATAGTAAATGGTAAGACACAAAATATTCTCTAGCACACTCACCGGCACCAAAAACGGACACCTTAAAATATTTATGTATTTTAAAGTTTAATATATTTTGTTCTAGTGGGCCGATTTTGATGATTTTTTAAACAATTTGAAGCTAAGTTATTTGACTTTTTAGTATCTTCTTCTAAACTAAAAAGGAAACTTTCTATCTGTCAATTATAAGAGGGAAAACAAAATGTTGATATTTTGGTGACAGTTTCAAACACCCTGTAGAATATGTTAACTATGTTAACATTGCAAGGAATCTAAAAATCATTTTATCATCTAGGTACATCTTATCCCGACAGTTTATTTTTTTATTTATCTCAATAGCTTTATTTTTATTGGAGATATTCGCTTTTATATAAGAGAGTAACGATTTACAGCAATTTTAGCATTGATTTCGGATCCTCATCAACCAACACACTTATAAAATAATGTATATTGTTTTTGTAATGTCACTGTCATTAAAAAGTCATATTATTACTGCTTATTGACATTTATTCTAGTATAGATGGTTTTAAGTTCTGAAATATCGGCTTTTGCTGCTTTAATTGATCATGGTAGTACATCGTACCCTATACATTTTATTTGTGAGAAAATAAGTTCCTAAGGTCTTGCGGCCCTGGGATCTTGACTACTTGTTTTAGTAGATTTGTACTAAAACTGTAATACTTTTTTGAACTGATTTATTTATAGAGCTCTTTTATAATCTTTGGTTTTTAGGTTTCCTCTGGATAAAGGAAAATGCCAAAAACCACATGAAAATTACTACAGTTATAATTATCGTAGTCATATGTATTCTTGCTATTGCAATAATTGTACCAACAGGTAAAGTTATTTTAGTGTTGAGTACTTTATATTTTTCAAATTGATATTTACGTCATTATTATTATAAATATATAGTTGGAACAATCGAAAAAAGACTTCTAAAAGCAATCTGCAATCGTCAATGGAAATAAACAGCAAAAGAAAACTCGCTTTGGATTCCTTAATTCCATATACTAAGAACTGGCAAAGGTTAGTCTTGGGTCGAGATTTCCGTATGTAAGAAGAGTACAATGCGTTTATAATGTACTGAACAAAGAGAGGACAGTAAACACGTTGCCAAACGTATGAAATAAACCGAGAAACTGTGCACATCGCTAAGAGACGTGGAAGGGGATATAGCAGATTTGTCGCAGTTGACCGGTCGACCTAATCAATACCTCTGTCAGTACTTAAAGTTCTAGGGAAAGGTGTACGTCATGCGTTCAGCTTCACGATTTAATTACGTTTCGTGATACTTAATTTGTTTAATTATTAACGAGTCGTTGTAATTTTCCCTATAGCTTGAATTTTTTTAAGTGCAAGCTAGAAACACTTGCATTTTTGGCAAAAATAAGTGGAATTGAGTGGGCGTTCGATAGTGGTCGCGCTATTAGAACTCTGAATTCAAAAATCGATATCTCGAAATCAATTAGAAATAATAGATTGTAATTTTTTCAAGAACTTTGTTAATATTTTTGCTCTATTTTCTTTGTAGACAGTATGTGAAAATCTTTATCAATAAAAAAATTACACGATTGCTGAAAATTGCTATGCTCTAAAAGTAAATGGATGGATTGTTTACAATTTTTGAATGGAAAAAACAACCTTATCGAATTTTTCTTATGTAAACGTATTGTAAAATATCCGATCTTGAAAATAAAAAAAAAGTTTGAATATCTAAAATGGTTCTTGAGTTATGGTCTGTTATGTGTTAAAAAGTTGAGTTCTTAAATTATCGTGATTACTGACGTTTTATCGTCAGTAATAATTTTTTCTCTAATGATTTTATCTAGTTATCTCTTGCAAAAAAGTCTTTTAAAAATAAGCGGTTTGCGATCGTGATTTTACTTCACTTGATAGGGAAAGGCGTATCGGCAACGCCGCAACAGCACACCGTCGCGCGTTGCGTCGGTCGGTCGCATTTCTCTCACTCGGACTTAATAAGATCCTTATGCGATTTACTTCCACACATGTAAATGCCGACCCAAAAGCAACAGTTGCCAGCACGGTATTTGGAATGCATATCTATAATTTACTTGTGGTACTAGCTATTCTGTGCTTGTGGGTATTCACAGCAGAGTGCTCGATCCATATACTAGTTTTAACCGTTGTTTAAAAGGAAATGTTTACGCTCTTTGGAAGGCAAATAATTTATTTTTAAATATTTTTGCTGTATTGTCATTTTAACAATAATTGTCAGTTTATTTCAAAAAAGGTATCTGATTATCTCCTAAATTTGTCAATACCCTGTTTCACTTGTTTCACTGGAACTGACTACAACTTTTGATTTTTAAATGACACTCTCGTTATTTTTTTAATTTATTCGATAGAAAATAAAACTCTGAATAGAGTGACCGAAGATAATTTGACTCGAAATACCAAGTGTGTGGTACTAAATTATTCGTAAAAAAAATCATCTTTCAGCCTGCCAAGACAAGACACTAAAAACATTAGACGATCAAATTTATTTTTCCAAAGCTCCTTGATTAAAAATTAGTGTTTTAACACATCCATTGCACTCTAGATTGAAATTTAAAATACAATTTTGTTTAAGCTAGATTTTCAAAAGGTGACATATGCTATATCGTTCTATTCAGAGTGTTATTTTTTATCGAATATAGTTAAAAATACCAAGGGAGCCAGTTAAAAATCAAAAGTTGTAGTCATTTCCGGTGAAACAGGAAATGACCGAAAACGATAATTGAATACGTCAATAAGCCCTAATTTATTTCATATACTATATACTAACACACCAAATCTCGGTTTTTTATCTCAAAAAATAAAAAAGTTATAGAGTTGAGCCACTTTTGAGACGCACCCGGTATAATACTAATGAATTAAATAATTTCATAGCATAAAAATATTAAGTGAATTTTACTTGTAGTGCTACTGTCAAGGAAAAAATCATCCTTCATACTGTCTCGTTCAGATTGGGGTGCACTAGACCCATCAGGTGTAACCACACCTTTGCCAACTCCAGTTAACTATGTCATAATACATCACACAGCAACGGAAAACTGTACAAATCAGGATCAGTGCATAAAAAACTTACAGTGAGTATTACAGTGATTTTAGATTAAAATTTTATATATTTTTTATAATAACTTTAAATATTTTAAGTTAATGTTAGCTAGATTCAAACTTACTTTAAATTAATTGTATCTACAAATAATATACGAAAAATTGCATATATGGTAATCGCAAAACAATTTCCAATGCACGTGACCAGCTCTGAGTGACAAGCGATGGCGACAGCGCTGTCAGATTGTGATGGATTTATGATATGAATCTGAATTTAAAAGTGACAAACAATATATTTATTATATCATTTTTTAAAGATTTTTACGTTTTATTTTTAATTTAATAATAATATTTGAGTAATTAATTGATTTATTTGTTTTATAGTTTATTTTACTTATTACGTATTGGCTAAAACTAGTCCATTATGAAGATTAGTCTAAGCGTTATTATGGGTTATTTATTTATTTATTGATGTGCATTTTACAACGCCATAAGTGGTAATAACAAGTAAGAGAGTCCTATTAATGCACAAACTAATAATCACAAAATTTAATACAAACTAACGTAGAAAAAGCTTTGAAAGTGGTATAATGTGCTTATCAATCAAACTTACTTCTCTGACTGCAGTCCAGGGTAATGAAGAACCTTTACTGTCACGTTCTCGTTCAAAATAGTTTATCAGGGAAGCTACAGGCCGTTTACTATTTAAATGCTTCGGCATATTTTCAACACACAATTTCAAGAAATTCAATACAAAAACTCGAAAATTTAGTTTTTAAAAGAACTGTTTGTACTTAAAAGTTCAATTTTTTGAAAAAAGACACTATGAAAATAGGCCAAAAAAGAGAACTACTCACAATGATTCAACAACAACACGATATTATACAAAATAATGACTGACATTAGGATAATTGTCAAATAATAAACGACACCCTTTTTTTCCATAACAAGGGGCCGTCCTCTGCCGGAAACACTGCGACCTGAGAGGCCTATTGTGTTTGTCCCCCTTCTATATCTGCACCCATTCTCCTATCCCTGTGCTCTGCACTAGCTTATGCAGGTCCTTGATAGGATGGGAGCATAGTTCCTCCGGTTCTAGCCTAGCTTTCCCAAATAAAGAGTGTCGCTTACGATCCAGAGCCTCGCAATGACATATTATGTGCTCCGCTGTTTCAGGAACTTTATCGCAGAGTCTGCAGCAAAGACTTCCTTGATACAGGTTGAGCTTGTTCAGATAACACTTGACAGCCATGTGTCCTGTCAAGAGGCTTGTTGTAATCCGCACTTTATTCCTGCTAAGCATTAGCAGTTCTTTTGCCGCTTTAGAGCTAGGTTCTTGGATAAAAACCTTGCTGTGCCTGTGCCCCTGTCTGTTTCTCCAGTGGACATTGTGATTTTCCTTGATCCAGAGTTTTAGTGCACTACGGGCCATACATTTGGGTATTCCCAGTACTGGCTCTGGACCAAGATAGGATGCCGATGATCCCTGCCTAGCTAGCTCATCAGCTTTTTCGTTGTCTTGGATGCCGCTGTGGCCCGGCACTCAGAATAATTTAATTCTGTTTGTTTCTGCCAGAGCTCCAAGTTCACCCAGGCATTCCCAGACGAGTCTCGACGATACTTTTGAGTTCTTAAGCGCCCCAAGTGTCGCCTGACTGTCTGAGCATATATTGATGAGCTTACCTGAATAAGCTCTTCTATTGTTTTCTCTTGCACATTGTAGAATGGTGAAGATTTCTGTCTGGAATACGGTTGAGTGTTTACCCAAGGAAAAGGATAAGCTTTCCCTTGGTCTTTCCCCAAATACTCCAGCTCCTGTTTCTTCAGCGGTCTTTGACCCGTCTGTATACCAGGTTAGTCCATCCTGAAGGAATGTTATATCTGTCCACATTCCTCGAGTTTGTTCACCTCGAATGGTTTGTGGTAGTGATAAAGAGGGGTCATTTGGTCCGATCTCATTTGAAGTAGAGATCCTCCGATAGAATCTCCCATCTTTAAGTGTCCTGTTTCTGTCCTATTTCCCGGAGACAAGACACTTTGTTGTCGGTAGAGTCCCATTCTTGCCTCCACCTGGATCACTATGTGAAGAGGCGGAAGGTCCAGAAGCGCCTCCATTGATGCAGTGGGCGTTGATTTCATTGCCCCTGTTATGCTCAGTCTTTGCACCTCAAATCTTTGCACCTTTCTAAGGCTGAGCATTGTTGTTTGTTGCATTACCTTAGGCCACCATACCAAGGATGCATATGTTACTGAAGGCCTCACCACTCCAGTGTACAGCCAGTGCACCATCTGTGGTCTGAGGCCACAGATTTTTCCATGAAGTCGTCTGTCTGCCGCTAATGTAGTCACCGCTCTCCTTGTGACATTTTCCAAATGTCGGTTCCAGGTCAGTTTGGTATCCAGCATGATTCCTAGATACTTGACCTCCCCCGAGAGAGGAATCTCATCACCGCAGAGTCTTAGAGGTCCTAGTCCCTCCAAAATTCTTCGTTTGGTGAAGGGGATTATTACGGTCTTTGTAGGACTGATGTTTAGTCCCTCCCATGTCACCCATGATTCCACAATCTTCAGGGCTCTTTGCATTCGCTCCCTTACTGTTGTGTTAAACTTACCTCTGACTAACACGACCAAATCGTCTGCGTATCCCAGAGAAACGACAACCTTGCTAAAAACGGCGCAATGTGACCAACATAGCGATAATAAAATTCGGTTTAAACTAATTTTTGCTGCTTTAATCTAAATAAAATATCTGTTACAATCATTTGCTCTATAAAGTAAAATGTAAAGCTGCTCGGTATCTTAAATTGTACAACAAATTTAAACATTTTTGCCAAAATTTCATTCAGTCAGGTTTATGGACTTTAGTGTCAATGTCGATATGACTGATAACGTGCATCGGAAGATGTTTTGCGATTACAATATATACATATTTAATCGATACGAAATAAACTTTCAGTTACGTCATCGAGGGCGCGATTTCGTGTTGCCTGCCCTTAGTGCCAACCACCGTCGAGATTGTATTAAACGCCAGGCTGACTAAAGCTTGATTTTCATGCATCCGTTGTCCGACGATACGTTGATACGATAATATTAATTTCATTGGTTGTATTTAAAGGCTTCGATTGGTTAACCGTTTCCAACCAATCGAAGTCTTTAAATTCAACCAATAAAATTAAAATCGTATCATCGTATCGTCGGACAACGGATGCATGAAAATCAAACTTAAGGGTGGCTGCAATGACGTCCCGTAATCCTGCTGTTAAAACATAACATGTGGTTTCTATATATAAAAACCAATTGTTATATTTTAACAGCAGGATTACGGGACGTCGTTGCAGCCACCTTAACTGGAATTTTAATTTTCCGCTGGCGATTCACCTGGTAGCTTTGCTGTAAAAAATGTCAGTTTGTCACATTTATGTATTTATTTATTTATTTAATTTTGATTTGTTTTGACACTTTAGTTTTGTATTACGAGTTTTTGATTAAAATGAATTGTGTCGTGACACTTTAAGCTTGCAATTTTTTGTTAGCAGACCTTGCAGTTTTGTCACGGTTTTGTCAAAAATATGACAAAACAATGACAATACAAAAAATGCATTTTTATAGCGTTAACAGATTCAATATAATTCATTTATTTTTAGGTATATACAAAAATTTCACATGGAGAGTCGAGACTTTTACGACATTGGATATAACTTCTTGGTAGGTGGAGATGGACAGGCTTACGAAGGAAGAGGTTGGACAGTAGAGGGAGCCCACTTATTTGGGTAAATCACTATACAGGCTGTCTGAAATAAGTGCAAGTTTTTTAATTCGGAATATAATTTAACATATTCTCGTTCTCACGTACGAACTAAGAATGTATTCTTTTGGCATTTTCCAAAAAATTAAAAAACAATTTTTGTGCTGCAGACTTATTTTTGAAAATGTCTTAAAAATTGTACCATGCTAAGTGATATCTGCGTTCTTTAATTGTATTTTTGTCTGATGATGCTCGTATGAGCGAAACACGTGTCACTTTGCTTAGTTTTAATATACAGTATGTCTCCGGATTGTCTTTACAAGAGGAAAAACTTTTTTTATTATTGACACTTTGAGTATGCATTTTTCATAAAACAAAATGCATTCTTCATAAAAAAAAATTAGAGAAAATTAATAAAAACATGAAAATATGGTTGAATTTTTTCCTAAAAAGTCCTAAAAATCAAAACGCGTTTTTATGGTAATATAACTTCGTTTTCATTCTTTGATACGGTAATCGTAAAACATTTTCCAATGCACGTCATCAATCATATCGAAATTGACACTAAAACCTATAAACCTCACGAAATGAAATTTTGGCAAACCTGTTTAATATAAAAATATAATGTAAATTTGTTGTATAATTTAAGATACCCATCTGTTCCGGTCCTTCATCTTAGTTTATAGAGTAAATAATTTACTTTTTTAATTAATAATAACCATTTATCAAAGAATGAAATCAAATTGATATTACCATAAATAAACCAATGAATACAGAACAACAAACAAAAAATGTAATATACAAAATACCATTTTGTATATTTTACATTGGTGAAACATCTAGACCCTTAAATGTTCGAATTAAAGAACATAAAGTTTATTTAAGAAAGGGAGATTTTCACAAATATATGATTTGTCAGCAATCATGGGACACAGGACACAGAATAGATTTTAATAAGGTTTTTTTAATACAATCTAATAAAAAATAAATGTATTGCTTATGCATCTGTAGATGTTAGTAATGTATGGCAATCTCTTCTTTGATTTTAAAGAACATAACATAAATAACCATAACATACGTATAAATTAAAAATAATCATACAGAAAGTTTGGTGCTTTTTGGTTTTACCTTATTAAGTAATTGTTATCAGGTAGTAATTGTTAATTTTGAAGTTTAGCTTGATATAATGTCATTTTAACAGAACGTCAACGGTTATTGTAGACGTACCTGTTTTAAAAAAACTAAAGTGTTTTCGCATAGTTCAATTTAAATATTTTAAACAGTTTTTTTCTTTATTCTTTGTATTTTTTTGCTTCCGACGACGGAAAGAGATAAACTTTCCGAAACTTTAAGCATTTTTTTGTTTGTTAGGCAAATTTGTATATCTGTAAACCTAACTTCTGACAAGTAGTTTCCATTTGTATTAACGCAGAAGTGTTTACAAAAAATAACTATTTTGTTTTGTAGATTTTCTTGCAGTGGCGAAGTTCTCATATAGGATTTTTTGTAGAGATGATTTGATATTACCATAGAAAGGCCTTTTGATTTTTAAGACTTAGACATGTTTGACAAAATATTCAACCATCTTTTCATGTTTTTCGAGATGTTTTTCTTAATATTCTCTAAAACGTTAAGGAAATTTAGAAAAATATAAACGGGATTAACAATTTTAGAACAAGCAAATTTTTTTATGAAACATCCATTTTCGCAAAATGTCTATAGAAAATGTTTCCTCTTGTAAAGATAATCCGGGGACCTACTGTACAAAGGCCATGACTTTGATTATTTTTTCTTCTTTATAATATTTGTATCCTCTCAAATTTCAGATATAATTCAAAAAGCATCGGCATAGCCTTCGTAGGCACGTTCAACGACATAATGCCGCCAAAACGTCAAATCGAAGTCTGCCAGAAAGTGATTAAGCAGGGCCTGGACTGGAGTTATATCGACAAAGACTACAAACTGCTCGCAGCCAGACAACTGGCAGGGACAGAGAGTCCAGGTGCCGCACTGTACGCTGACGTTAAAACGTGGCCCCATTGGGTCAAAGAACCATAAAAAGTCTAAGACTGAATTGTTTAGAATATGTCGTCCAAAATGTGATTTTATTCGTATGTGAGTTTGGTATTTTATAAAAAAAAACATTAAAGCTTCATTCGGAATCTCGAAGTTAGTGGAATAAATTAGTAGTTTCAATTAGCGTAGAAGTTTATTCACTTAATTTTAATGTAAGCATTCAGAACATCATAATTAGTGGTAGTCATTTTCAATTAGTGGAAAAAGTTAACAAACTTTTGCCTTTTCCACTCATTATACTTCAAAATTTGCCAGGAATGTCTTTTTGGCCTTTGATTATCACCCGTCAAGAAAAATTTTGGTTAGAAATCAAAAGTTTATTGTTTAATAAGCTAAGGCTGTATTCCGGTGCAAAACCAGGCGAACCAGACCGGTAAACTATGGTAAAGAGCGGTTCCTGAAAAACATCGGTTTGATACGGAACGGTTTGGTAAAATACTGGAAATGTCAAATGTTGACGTTTTCTAAATTTCAATACCTTTATTATAAAATTTATCTTTTATGTATTTTTAATGTACCTATTCTCTGCTTTTACGTTTGCTTCTTCTTTTCAATTGAGTTTAATGTTGAAAAGTATTTTATTAATAAACTGCTCCAATATTAAAACAAATCAATAATAAATAAACAAATCTAATCAATATTTATATTTTTATAGCTTACAAAACATTCACGATTACTTGTTGTCTTGTTTTTCATGTTTTCTGGCCGCATGATAAGTTTAAATGGTCCTAAAAAGTAATTCTATTTAGTTTATGAAATTTATTTACCTTTACTGCCTACCTTCATTGCTTTTGTATATAAATACAAAATAGTATAACAAATTTTAGAAATTAAATGAGAATTTCACTCGAACTTCCAATATTTGCTTGATTTCTGTCACATAAATGACATTGATTGACAAACAAAACCGGAAAACCAGCCTGCTCGCGCTGGTTAGTTTGGTGACAGTTATAACCGGTTATAACCGTGTTATAACCGAATTTTTCAGGAACCGTGTTCCCTAATCAGAAAACTTTCAGGAAACCGATAGAAACGGAACATAGAACCATAACCAAGATAAGCAACGGAATACACCCTCTGTGGATAGTTTTTTAGACGACGTGAATGATCATAAACTAAAAAGTTAGTGTAGTTGAAACCACTAATTTATTCCACTAATTGGGAGGTTCTGAATGAAGCTTAAAACTTCATCCAGAATCATAAAATTAATGGAATAAAGTGGTGGTTTCAATTAGCGTATGTTTCATCCTGTAATCTCAATGTAAACATTCAGAAGGTTAAAATTAGTGGTAGTACTTTTCAGTTCTTTTAACTTTTTCCACTAATTATACTTCAAAACTTGCGAGTAATGTCATGTTGACGTTTGATTATCATCCGTCAATTGAAATCGCGGTTGCAAATGTTTTTAATCTAAATATTAGGCTTTCTCTGTGTATACTGCCGATTACCGCAAGCTGCTGCTAGGAAATTTTACTTATTTTATTTGTATTTTTTCAAGGTTCTGAATGAAGCTTTACCTCGAGCTTTACCCTTATTAAAAATCGATTTAATTTTGATATTTTAAAATATTAAATAAAGTTTTAAGGCCACGTTATGTCTCGTAGTCGTTATTGTATATATTTTTGTTAATTTTTATTTGTTTAAGAATAAAATGATATTATATCAAAAATTATTTTCTCTGCTCTTATTAAAAATTGCATTCCTGTGATATTAACCAAGTTATTTTTCCAAACCCGTCTGATTATCTTTTTAAAGAATCAGTACAGAAGAGTACAATATATTAATCTCGGCAAAATGGCATCGTTAAATGAGACTGAACATATTGAAATTAATTAAATCAAATTGTTTAAGTGTTATTTTCTAAAGTGAACAACTCGGAAACAGTTCGAATGAGGTACATTGTGTGTATTTCGATTTTTGCTTAGAATTGAAGAAAGAACCGAAATGCAATAATATACAGGGGGTTTAATTTAAAAAAATAAAACTTTGATGTGCCACGACTTTAAGACCGACCCTGTATACTTAAATTTATTACCCGCTAATAGATATTTATAAACCCTATAACTTTTATATTTAATTTTTTGCGGTACCTCCTCTATTTTACCTAATAATCGACCGTTTCGATGCACGTTTCGTTCTATACTTTTCTTTCGCCTTTTTGAGCCTTCTTTTTCGTTGTGTAGCAGTTTCGTTTTTATTTTTGTTTGTTTTTTTTATTTATTGTTTCCATGTTGTTCCCACGAGTAATGGACATTTAAACGGTCGACCCCCTCAGAGGTCCAGTAGAGGGGCAAGGCTATAATATACAACAAGAGGCGCCCATCTTGAGGGGAAAACGCTTGCGACATTACATTTTTAATAATAATATAATAATAAATGCCATACGGTCCCTAATGCCATACAGTCCTCAGCACGTTTTAACCTATTACCTTAACTTGGGTGGTAAAGCTACCGCTAACTACGTAGGTACATCTAATCACCTATTTTTTTTATCTGTCCTTCTAACGTCACACAATCTTGGACACAACTGTTCTGGACACGACTACTCATGCCCTCACCTATTACGCCATTTTGTAACGACGTCCATCTTGGATTTTAAATTTTGTCATAATCACAGTATTCTACTAGTGTAGCCCTTTCATTTGATACCCATATTGAAGGGGTTGTGGAAAAATATGAAATCCGCCATTTTGTACCATTTGCCATCTTAGATTTACAATGTTATTGATATTACTATATTGTATTGTCATCGGAACTAAAGGTGTGTACCAAATTTCAGATCAATCTGACAACAGGAAGGTACTTAAATTTCAATTTCTAAATTTGACCCAAATAAACAAACAAAAAAATAAATACCGTACGGGTCGAGCTAAATAAAACCGTTTAAAAACGTAACATTCAGCGGTCAACGTATTCTCAAAATGATGGTCAAGAAAAGTTTAACAAATAATCCTACATGCTTTTCTTCATTTGAAAAATTCATACAATTTTTGCTTATTTTAATTTACAAAGTTTGGATGTGACAGCTTCACATTTCTGAGAGCAAAGACGATTAAACTTGTTTCCATGGCTAACTAAGTGAAATTGTTTAAAAATGATAAGAATTGGCTATAACTCAGTAATTTTTCGAAGAAAACATATTATAGCTTATATCGCTAGAAAGCTTAAAAAATGGCGCTTTTTATGAAGTCAAGGGCAACTATGGTTTCCATTTAAAAAAACGTATGTTTGTGTCATATGTCAAAAATGACAGGCTTTAGAAAGAAACGGAGAACACAATCTCATTAAGGATGTGATTATCTACAACTGTTATCTGAAAACTTTTTGTCTAAAATAGCTTATAATGGAATTAGGGACAATTTTTAAAATAGCCGAAATTTGGTTTTTTGAAATATCAAGTAAGCCATGAACTTTTCCAAAAATCTGAAAGGCGCCTATTTATGACCCCACAAAACTGCAATTCTTTCCCCATTTAAAAGACTCTCTATCTCCAGTAGTTTCCGAGATACCCATAAAGAACATCGTAGGAAACTCACCCTGTATATGTATATGAAATAAAATAATACAAATATTGGACTAGGTTAAAACTTCCCAGCTGATTATTATTAAGAGGTCAAAATGTTTATTTTTCAAAGAAATTCTTGGAATTAAAAAAAATAATTACTGGAAATAAATTTTACAGTTTTTTCTTAATTTAAAATTTTATTATACTCAAATGACAAATTTAATACAACAATTTATGACCCTTTAAAAATATCTAATAACTAACCATTTTTTTTAATTCTACCTATTTAATTTTATGTGCCGTGAAAATATTTGTTGCTTATTTATCATTTCTCGGTGGTTTTCTTAAGAAAAATGTCTTTATTTCCAGGAAAATATAATTTTAATAATACACTTAAGACTTAAGTAGTGTATGAATCCTAGTAGTTATAATTATTTTTAGAAATTTCAATATAAAAACGTAGGTTCCCAGTATTTGCTGAAATAGGTTTATTGTAGTATACAGGGTGTCCCAGACTGAGCATGCATTAGAAGTTTCTGGAGAACCACAATATCTAGATCGGAGATTTTACATTGTTTTACAACGAGATCTATCGATTAAAAATATCTTCAAGATGATGGCACTTCTGGAGATACCGGAAGTTGACAGAAACTTTCTTATTTTAAATGGGTGCCTCCATTTTTTATCTCATACTTATGTTCTCTGTAAAATTTTATAAATTTTGATATTAAACACTCTATCTATATCTCTATCTAACATTAACCGCTATATATCTCTATCTAACATTAACCGTTATTGAGAAAAAAATAATGAAAATTTTTGGACGAAAAAAACTGCCTGTCAAAAAGATGTGTATAGCCGAAACATCAAATTTAGTGAGTACCACAGGAATTGTTCGAATGTCATATAATAATGACCGCAGCTGCCATGGAATTGAGCGATTAAAAAATTATCATAAATTATGTTTTAGCCGACCATGCCAACAGGTATGGTGGGCTATTAAGATCGGCAAAAAAAAGTTTTTTTAATTTCACTGAAAATGAGTTATTTGGGGTCATAAATGACCTAAATACAAAATATTTTCAAGGTGTCTGTCTGTCTGTCTGTAACACGATAACTCAAAAACCGCTAAACCGATTTTAACCAAATTTGGCACAAAAATACTGTGGCACCCGAGAATCTGGCCATTAGTTTTTGGTAGGGGTGGGGGGTTGCTAAGGGGGTATGGGAAGGGATTAAAAATTTTAAAAATCGTAACTCCGAAATTACAGTAGCTAGCGAAACGCGGTTTTCAATTTAAGATTAGGAATAATATTTGCAACAAAATTTGTAATAACATCAAAATCAGTCAAAGGCGCAGTTTTTGAGATATTACGTGTTTCCGTAGTCCGTTTTTGAGAAAATTCGTGTGGAGAACTACAAACTCCCATCGGATGCGACCCCAGGTGGCGGATAGGGAAAATAACCGCGGACCAAAATTGGAAAAATTCCTTTACTTTG